ATATATATCCACAGTCTCCTTTCAGAAGGTAGACTCTAAATTTCCTCCCCTGCAGTATGGACTGTACTTAGTGACATGTGTCTACGAATGAATAGAAGAAAGCTGAAGTGTCGTATATGTCATAAAAGACTCTCTCTCTCCTCCACTCTCTCTCTCCCTCTCCTTCTTTCTCTCTCTCTGTCTCTGTTTTGTATCACTCACTCAGTGAAGCCAGTTGCCACATCATAGAGAAAATCAAATAGGCATATGGAGGGTTCTACACAACAGGGTACTGAGGCCTCCTGCCAACTATCTTGGATGCCCAGCCAGCCCCAGTCAAGCCTTCCGATGACTACAGTTTCAGCCAATGTCTTCAAGATGACTTCATGAGAAATCCTGAGCCAGAGCCACCCAGCTAAGCAGGACCCAAATTTCTAAATCACAGAAACTGTAATATAATAAATGTTATGCGTTTTAAGTAGATGAGTTGTGGAATAATTTGTTACACAGCAATAAACAACTAGTATATTACTCGTGCCCCACATCCCCTCCCCATTCCCACATTAGAACAGGAAAATAAGAGAGAAGTTGCTAAAAGCCCAAACTTATATTTCACCTATTTAAATATCAAGATTTGGTTTAAAATCATCCCCTCTAGGAAGCCTTTCCTAAGAAAACCCTGGCCAATTCTCATATGTCTATACTTATTTTTTTTTAAGATTTATTTATTTGACAGAGAGAGATCACAAGTAGGCAGAGAGGTAGGTAGAGAGAGAGAGAGGAGGAAGCAAGCAGGCTCCCTGCTGAGCAGAGAGCCCGATGCGGGGCTCTATCCCAGGACCCTGAGATCATGACCTGAGCTGAAGGCAGAGGCTTAACCCACTGAGCCACCCAGGTGCCCTATACTTATTTTTTTTAATTTCGGAAATTTTGTGCACATTTTGAACTCAGGGTCTTAAGTAAAGACATATGATAGTTTGTAAATTAACTTCTTAAAAATAATTTTTGCAATATTCTAAAGAGAATTTGCATTAACTAAAATGTGACCTCACTGAGAAAGACACTATATTTTAAATATCCATCTTTGCATACATATTTTATATAGAAAAGGTTATTTTGCATATGCAGTTTTTTATCCTCTTTTTCTCATGCAGTGACCTCATCTCTCAGTTCTATGACCTCCTCACTTTAGCTACTGACTCCATGATCAAGCTCTAGTTTGAATCCTTACTACTCAAAGCGTGGTTCATGGAACCAGCCACACTGGCCACACCTGAGAGCTTATTAGAAATGCAGAATCTAGGGGTCCTGAATGGCTTAGTCGGTTAACTGTCTGCCTTCTGCTCAGGTCATGATCTCAGTGTCCTGGGATTAAGCCCTGCGTCAGGGTCACTGCTTCTCCAGGGAAGGCCCCCGCAGGCCAGGGGGCCCTGCTTCTCCCTCTGCCTGCTGCTCCCCTGCTTATGTTCTTCCTCTCTTTCTCAAAAATAAATAAATAAAATCTTAAAAAAAAAAAAGAAGAAGAAGAAATGCAGAATCTAAGATGCCACTCATCATGCTTTCACTTCAGGACATTTGCACACGCCGTTCCCTTTCCCTGTGAGGCTAACCCTCCAGTTATTTGCATGTCTCACTCCTTCACTGCATTCTGGTCTCTGCTCCAATGTCATCTACAGAAAAAAGCCATTCCTGACCAGCCTACCTGGAGCTGCATTCTTGTGGCACCCAGTTCCCCTACCCTGCTTTATTTTCTTCAAGTATAATCATTATTTGACATTATTTTATATGTATTCATTTTCTTAATTTCCTTCCACAAATAATTTTGGAACCCCACTATGTGTCAGGCCATGTTCTAAGCTCTGGGAATACAGAAGAGAACAAAATAAAGCCCCATACATCCTCCACTCTAATGGAAGCATGCTATACAGATATAAGTTGTTACTTACTATTTCATGTTTCTTTATTCATTCCTTCACGAAGAGGCCCAATCCTCACCATCAACGGAAGGCTCCACTCCAGCTCCCATGACTTAAACCCACCCTGAACAGTCAGCTTCTATTTAGAGGGAATTTTTCAATGTGCTTTTGTGCTCTGTTGAGCTAAGTTTAACTCGGTTGTTTTTCCTCCCCATGAATTGTCCCAATACAGCTTCCTGCAGTGGAAATTTCCCCTGCTTAATGTGAGCCTCCAACTACATAGCTGATCTTATTCTTGTGCAATTTATCTGAATTCAAAGGGTTTCCCAAAATGGGACCAAAAAAATCTTACCATCATCACCATCATCATCATCCCCACCACCAGCAGCTACAGCAGCAGCAGCAGCAGGGTTAGGCCTGATAACATTTCAAAGGGCAGAGTTAATCTTCGGCGTGCTCTCACTTCATCTGGCACCTTCTTCCTACCCTCTTGCACATGTAGGTTCCATTTCTCAGAGGCCTGGCTCTCAGCTGGTCATCGTGCATTTCCTCCCAAGGTGGTAGTGTGCCCCTCAGTAGGAAGGGCTTGGAGACTGCCAAGGGAAGGGAACCTGGGTAGCTTCTCATGCACCAGGCTCCACTTATCCCCCACAAGCATTTCAGTGTGTGAGGAAAATACAACCTAGAAGGACATATTCTGTCCATCATTTTCCAGGGGAGAAATTGAGGCTCAAGGACATTATATAACTCTTCTTCATCACCCTGGATGGTCTAAAGTCAAAGCTCTGCATTCCAATCCTCCTGAACCTCAAAAATTCAAAGGAGTGTGTTTCTGATGATGGAATATCCACGCCCAGGAGGGAAGGAGTTTTTTCAAAACCAGGTAGAGGTGTAAGGGGTTCATGAAAAGGGAGGCCCACCGAAATGCAGAGACAGACTATCTCGGGGAGTGCCTGCACCGACTCCTTCATTTTGCAGAAGTGGAGTGGCAAGGCCCCATGTGGGTGAATTATATGCATTTAAACTTAAAGAATTAAGATGAGAATCTACAGTCTAGGAGAAGCACACCTACATGATTATATGTATAGGAACCACATTTTCTAATAGGGGATAAGAGAAGAGGTGACCAATTTTCGCCCACAGTAGCCTCATTTGTAGTCATCAACAGAGGTATAAACACCTTTTATAGTTGAGTAGGAAATTACCATTTCTAAGAAGAATTTCTAAATTTACAGTGTTCACATGTCTTTGTTCCCCTCCAAAATTGTTAGATAAATAAAAATGAACAGCTTTAGCATAGAACAGAATGTGTAATAAGATATTAAGTAAGCTTTTGGGGCAGATATACTTTTGTTTAGAAATCCCTGCCTTGATTTCTCAAAATTACTAAGGCAAAGGATCAAAATATAACAGATCTCATAGCATAAGCATGTTTACAAGAGCATACAGCATGGGATGAGGTCTCTCTGGTGGCCCAAGGAACTTAGGGCTCCTCTTTCTATATGGGGTTAACAGGACAGAGAGGCAGCCCATCTGTGTCTTGTCCTGCAAATGACAGGAATAGGATGGGGTGAGAAGGAGTTTGTCTCTGAACATCTGAATGCTAGCAAATAAAACATTTATTGAACTCCTACTCTGTGCCCAGTACTGTAGTACTGATAGGTAGGATGCAGTTTGATGGGTAACATAAGATGTACACTCAGAAAATTAAATAGTTCTTGTGAGTAACTATGCATGTTAATGATAATTAACACCTTCTGTTTGTGAATGTTGCAGGATAATATTTTGATATATTAAATGATGTGTTTTCCCTTCTCGGTAATTCTTGTTACCTGTGAACTGTTTCCCATACAGGACTTCTCGGCCCGCTGCCTCAGGGATGGGATCACACTACAGAACAACAGAGGCAAATTCTTGTCTTTTGAATTTCAAAACCCGAGATCTTGGCAAAAACAATATGTTTGGAAGAAAACTAGATCTGGAAATGGTTATAGTTCTTCTAACCCTAAGGTAAGGTAAAACTAGGGGGAAATTGCGGGAAGAGGGGTGAACAAAAGCAGAAGAGCTAGACGACTGAATGGGTCACTAAACAGAGACCCGTGTTCTGTTCCCTGCACCCTGTCCTGTCGGGCTGAGTTCCAGGCCCCAGGCCCTTAGGGTCACTTACCCTGCATTTGGGGAAGACAGGAGAGAAGAAAGCCTGGCTGAGGAGGTGTGTCTAGGTGAAGAGGACCCAAGAAAGCCTGAAAATTACCCCACATGCCCACGGAGTTCAGGGACAGAACCAAGTAGTTCCCAAGTGCCCGAGAGGAATATCTAAGAGAAACAGAGCCAGAAGACCTTGTGGCCAGGGACTGGGAGGGCACACTGGTGATCCGCGCAGAGCACGGTCACTGCGGCATGACGCTCTGTTCAGCAGACTCCAGCGAGGACTGATGAGAACCCTGAGGACTGGTATCTACCCCCCAACTTTCTCTCCCTATCCCATGCCCATGCACCCTGATAGCCCCCTAGATCTCTACAAATACTTCAGGTTCGTGATCCCACTAGATAATTCTCCATCCCAGAAAAGAAGCCCCCTGGGATCTTTCTCACAAACCCAACCCCATCCATGTATCCACGTTTAACTAGCTTCCTTCAGAAATAGTCTCACAGGGCTCAACTACACCCCCTACACTGTAGGCACAGATGCTTTTTTTTTTTTTTTCATTCTTAGGAAGTAAAAAAAAGACCAGGCAACATATTCTGTGCAACAACCCGCAAGGCATCAGAAAAGAAGAGTAGGTTTACAGTGATCCTAGGTTCCTGATACATACAGTATCTCTCTTCTTAGCTCAGATGCTAAATCCAGAATCTGAGCAGAAAAGTGGGGAAAAGTTTGTCTTCCAAGTTTTCCTCTCCTCACCAGCCTCCTAAGTTGGCCCTTTTCCCACTTCGGTTGTGCCTAGCGCCATAGCCTTCTTGCAATGTCCTCCATCTTCCCAGTGTAACCTGACACTCATTCACATTAAAGTCAAAGGACTCAGAACAGCTTGAGGTTCAATGCTTCCTTTTCCCCTGCCCCCTCAGTTTTCATAGCTAATCAGCTATTAAACCTACCTCCTTGCTATTTCTCCTCTCCTTCCTGTTATCTGAAAATGCTGTTCTCTATTTGTTCTCCTTGGTCCAGGAACATGGCGGAATTGTACCTCCTCTCCTTGAAGTTGATCAGGGCCAGCCATATGGCTTGTTTTGGCCAATAGAAGGTGGGCGGGGCTGACATATGTTGCATTTGGAGGAAGTATTTAGTTGGGACACCACCACACTTTTTTCTTCCTGCCATTGGACCTGACCACATTCCAGATGACAGAGGCTCTGTTGACTTGATTCCCAGAGTAAGGACTCCAAGTCTATGTACGATGGATTTGTAATGTGAGGAAGAAATAAACATTTGTTAAACTAATTCACTGGTTATTACTGCATGTCATCAAGAGGACATGACCACAGGTTGACCCAAGAGCTGGACCAGGTAATCAGAGGCTCCTCACCTTTTCCCCTATCCTTGGCACATACACTCTGCCCCCCCCATTCCCACAGTGGGAGCCATCTCAAGGATGCAACCTTGAGATAGCAACATGTTGTTGAAACCATCTGAACGGCAGATGTGACTGAATCTAGTTAAGGCCTCTGTATAAACTCCTAAGATTTTGGCAAGGTGGATGGGGAGACCTACTCATCTTGTGGCCACCCAAGATAAACCTTGTATATAAGTTTCCTTGCTTATTAAAACTGCCAATCTGGAGTGGTCTGCCTCTTTTGTTTTCTCCCTGTCCTCTGCGTATAGGGCCAGTTTCAGATTTCATCCAGGGAAATTCTTGGGTTGTGAACCAACAGCATCATAATCCAGCGCATCCTGACTAATACACCTGGGCTACTGGTGGGGTCCAGGGGTCCTGGTTACTTCTCACCTGAGCTCTAACATGCGCTACTCAAAGGGTGGTCTGCACAGGGTATCAATCCACAAAATACTGCTGCTCTGCAATGAAGTAAGTACAGAAATTGAGAATAGACATTTAGAAATTCTTATAATAATTTATCAGATTAATTTTATCGACTGAGTCTAATAATAAAATATTTGAGCTTATAGTCTCTTCAAATCTTAGTATGGTGCCTTACCCAATGGTGTACTATAAAACTGTCAGTCAAACTAAATTGGACCAAACCTTCGTGATTAAGAAATAGAATTATGGTAGGAGTTCAAGCAACAGAAAGCAAAACTAGGGCATATTTAGGGTGTAAGACCCTTTCTCGTCGCATGTGAAACCGTCATTCAAAAGTTCCTGGAGGGGCACTTGGGTGGCTCAGTCATTAAGTGTCTGCCTTCAGCTCAGGTCGTCATCTTAGGGACCTGGGACAGAGACCCACGTCAGGCTCCCTGCTCAGTGGGAAGTGTGCTTCTCCCTCTCCCACTTCCCCCACTTGTGTTCCTTCTCTTGCTGTCTCTCTCTGCCAAATAAATAAATGAAATCTTTAAAAAATAATAAATTAAAAGAAATAAAAATTCCTAGAGTCTACTCTTTGTGTGAGCACACTTAGCTCCAACAAGCAGAGAACCTTCCTGAGCTCTTTCTCTTTCTCACTTAACACTAAATCTAATTTTAAGTTTGCTGATATAAAAGCATGGACATGAAACTATTTGGTCTTTGGAATAAAACTTTGTAAATATATTGACGATGAATATGGTTTTCCAAATTATCCACAGACAGCATGACATTTTGACACATTTGTTCAAGAGAACAAGAAGTTAATCTAACTGATCCCTAAATCACTTCCCAACTCCCTCTAGGACTAACTGGAGCTCCTTTTCTCTTCCCAAAGGCTCTTTGACGTTAGTATATTTCTCTGCACCATATGTAGTATGGTATCCTGAAAAGAACAGTGAGCTAGGTACTGGGAGAGCTGGGTCTAGCCCTCATTCCCACTCACCTGCTACCACACAAAGCCATTGCTTAACGACTAATGCACTAATTTCTCCATCTGTTAAATGAGAATAGTAAGTTAATAACAAGTCCACGATATCAGCTCTACTGTGCAAATCAAAATAAAGAGTACTGAAGCACTTGGTCATAAATAGAGGCCTACACAATGGTAGCTCAGCATTCACATATAACACTGCCTTGAAATGCTCTCGAATTATCTCGCACACATAGTTTTTCTCCTCTCTAGCCAGATAATAAGTTCCAAGAGGTGCGTTGTGCACTTTTTGTATGGTATCCAATCTTCAGCCCCTTAGGACAAATAATATACATTCCATGACTGTCTGAAAACAGTTTAATTTACCAAAAGTTGTTGAACCCCTTCACCACTAAGTAAAATGTATGAACTTTCATAAACATACACTGCATGACAAGTGTTCCTCACTCACCTGTCATCCTGACAACCTTTTAGAGTTCTGGTTAAGGAGAGTTGTAATTGCTTATCTGAGTTCCTTGAGGGCACACGTCATATCTCATTAACCTTCGTATTCACATTTACCTTTGTCATGCAAGCATAGAGGAGGAGCCCAGCAACGTCTGCAGATAATTAATAAATGCATGAAGCGAACTTTACTTAAATACTTCCTCCTATTACCTCCTTTCAGTCTCCCTGAAACCTAAAGAGCCAATCTTTGTTTGATTTTGGTTAAGTTGGTTTTTAATTTTGCAGAATCATCTAAGCATTTTATGAGTACACCTCCCCGGGAAGTCACATGATTCTTCTCTTCTCTTTCCTTCGTGAGCACAAGCAGTTCTTACTCAAAGATCATTAAAAGGATTAGACTGCAGGAGTGAGAGTGGTAAGGACCAGAACAGCTATTGGTCTGAAAGAAAGGAAAATGGTACTAATTGTTCAGATACAGCGCCATCCTGCACATTAAACATAAATACAGTGCCTGAATAAAGAGCTTCTATAGAGATCTCCAGGCTCTGGCAGGAACACTGGGCTGCACCAGTAAAAGGCCTCCTGCTAGGGCTGCGGTGGAAAATGTGACCTCAGAGAGGAATTCAGCACAGAAAGGCTCAGAAAAAGATGACACACCATGAAGTTTTGGTTAAGTCATCTGGTTTCAGGCATATAAAAGTTTCAGTTAAAAAATAATGCAGATTACATGAACTTTGTCAGAGATTGCTATTCTCAGTAGAGCTTAGAATGCCGAAGTGCCTCTGCCCTCGTGTTCTTCACAAGAGATCGATACCTTTTAGGAACACATTCATCTAGAAAGGCCTGGAGGCCTGGGAAGCAAAATAGGTTAGTCTGGATTCCTCACACCTAGGTCATTCAGTGTTCCACTGAGCCCTCCCAGCACAGAGGGGCACTGACTAGGACTCCAAAAAGCAAAGGCAAAGACCACACTAAAGAGAAGTCAACAACATCCTTCCCCTCCTCCTGCTCCCACCCAGAGAGGGCCCCTCTTATGGGAAAAGTCTGTGTTTATGATGGCTGCAATCTATGACTTTCACCACCGGTATGTAGCCAGTTCAGTGTTTCAGAGCTGGGGTCTCTTGCTGGGGGACAGGAATTCTGAAGTTTATTTAATAAGTTAGGCTTTTGCAAGGAAAAAAAAAAATGGAATGCATCATTTTATATGCTTAGGAACAAAAGCACAGTTTAGAAAAAAACACGCATCCCACCAACCTTTGCCCCAAACAAGTTTTTGTTTTTTAAATAGAGATCTACATTTTGAACAGAGCAGGAATCAAGCCGCATATTTAATGTCCGTGCAGTATAATTTTAGAGGCATGCCAGAAAGGAAAAGGGGGGGTTGCAAGCACATAAAACTTATTTATATTTTTATTTATGCCTATTTCCCACAGATTGAAGATAACGTTGAAGAGCACCGCTTCTCAAGCTAACCCACTCCTAGAGTCTGAAAATTCGGTGCTTATCTAGCACTGCCCTCTGGTGTCCACATGGATCACTTTAGATTGCCCTGAGGCTAAGAGTAAAAGCTACTGTTAATTAACAAGTCTTCAGTCTGCATTCATTCGTTCACTAAACATTTACTGAGAGCCTAGTGTGTGTGGGTTTGTGGTATGTGGTGGGAGACACAGATGTTAAAAGGACTTGGTTCCTTGCTGTGTTTTTAAGCAGCCCAGAGCCTAACAAGAGACAAAATTAACTGCAATTACACAGTGACTTGATCACACAAGACAAATCACTTTACCTAGTGAAATGAGACAGTCAACAGCTGGGTTGTCTCCCTTTCCAAACTGTTCCAGACCGTTATTCATATTAGCAGGTATCTGGCTGGCTTTGGGCAGAACAGCTATGGTGAGGTACGCAGGGAATATTCTGAAACACAGAAGACTTCCCAGGACATACAATGAGACTGAGGCCCAATTTTAAGTATTTCTGTGGGAATCCTCTTTTCGAGTCAACTCCAGAAGATACTTCAGGTCTTGTAGTTGCCTAGGGACTCATTGGTTACCAGGTCGGATATACAAATCTAACATTCATTAAGCCTTACATTTCTTTCTGAGAATGCAGACAGACTGCAGAATGTTTTTCTCACACCGGGATGAAAAGCCTCAAAAGGAATCAAATGGCAGAGACCCCAAGAATTGATCATAAACCGTTTTAAGATCCTTAGATTTGCAAAGTGCCAACCAGAGTCACAGAAACATACATCGTTCTGAATGGGTACATCTTCAGACCTTCTGGGAAAGCAGAGGGAATCTGAAGGAATTGCCAAGATACTCCATCAAGAATAAATGTGAAATTCAAATATCATCAAAGGAAAGGAGTCAGGAACTACTACAGACCAAGAATGATACTTTACGCCATTTTATGTTTCCACTTTTTGCCGTTTTTCCATTCTTGTTGTTGTTGTCTTCTAGAGTAGGTAGCCGTGACTTGCTTCTAACCAAGAGAATAGGATGTACTTGACTACATATTATGATTACGAGATTCATCTTGCTGAAACTGCCACCCTTGCTGGCTTTGAAGAAGCAACCAGATGTGCTGGCCAGGCCCATATAGCAAAGAGTTGAGGGTGGCCTCTTGCCAACAGCCCCCTAGAAATAGACCATCAGTCCAACAGCCCACAGGGAACAGATAGCTGCAAACCACAAGGGAGGAACCATCACCCTTGCCCAGACAAGCCTCAGAGGAGATTAGCTTGAATGCAGCCTTACAAAGAACCCAACTTCGAGATATTAAATGGGTGTTGTAAGTTACTAACTTTGGGTAATATTATGCAATGACAGATAGCTAATACAGATCTCAAGATTTTTTTTTATTTTAAAACATTATTAAAAAAGTAATACAAATAAAGAAAAAATATAATACTAAAGAAAGATGAAGTCACCCATTTATTGCTCTGCCACCCTATTATAGGAACAGTAATTTACTTTGTCACCCTTTTATTATATGCTTGGTGTGTTACTGACAGCCATGACCTTACCCATTCATATGCCATTCATAGCTTGCTTTTCTAATTAAATATTTTCTCATGTTTTTCATTTATTATTAATTTTAATGAGTATATAATATACCATTCATTGGCTATCTATCTGTTTATTAACCATTTCCTTTACCAGGGGTTGGCACATTATGGCCACGCATTTGTAAATGAAGTTTTACTAGAACACAGCCATGTCTATTTATTTACATATTGTCTATGGTTGTTTTTGTACTATAAACGCACATTGGAGAAGTTTTAAGAGAGACTATATGGTTTGCAAAGACTAAAATCTTTCTTTTCTGCCCTTTGCAGAAAGTTTGCTGACCCCTTCCTAAAACTTTTAAGGGATCTATTATTTTGGCCATTATAATTAATGCCACTTAGAATATCTCTGTGCATATAATTTTTATACTTTAGGCAACATAATTGGGAGGTATTGGGAGTAACTCCACAAAAGTGGAGTAACTGAGTCTATTTAATAAAGATGTCTTTAAGTCTGACACCGTCTCTTACTATCTTTCTTATAATATTCTAACTCTGATATAATAAGGGTGGTGGTAATAAGAATGGAAAGCAAGGCCTACTACTTCCTTTTTTAGGTAGGAAGTAATTAATCAGTAGCACCTCTCTGGTCCCTATGAATCTAGCATGTATGTAACTTTATACTCTGGATAAGCATACCTTTCTTCTGATTTAAAGTCAACACTAAATGCCACATAAAAACCAATGGAAAGAAAACGGTTACTTTCTATTGGGGATTTAAAAGCAGACTGAGCAAACTCTCCAGTTGTCCATATGTCCAAGAAATGCCATCGCGGGCTACCTGTAGTGGCCAAAAGGCACTGAGAGAGTTGAATTAGAGAAAGGTGACAGTCTCAACAATGTGTTAGCAGAGACAGCAAGGAATAATGAGGCAGCTATGAGTGGGGGATGAGAGAAAAACGTATGTGTTCCACCTCTCTGAACACATCCTAAGCACCAACTTGCATATAATTGTAATTAAACTGTGTCCAGGTAAAAAAGTTCTAGAGCAACTACCCTATACTTATGAACAAAAAAATTCTTCTATCTGGGAAAGTTTTATTCTTCAAAAAGAAAAACTTATGGAATGGGACCAGCTAAGTCAACCATAACTATCTCTGAGATAAAAGATGAACCAGGCTGATGGATCTCAAATCCAATCCCACAGTGAGCATCAGGGAGTACAGGTGTCATCTTCTAAGGGAAATATTCTGCAACATTAAAAAAAAAAAAAAAAAAAAAAAAGATCAGGATGGACTTTGCCCCCAATATATAAGGTATTTTAAAAGCAAAATCAGAAAGATATTTAATGTAATTATCCCAAATACACCAACAAAGTATATAAGAAAATCATACATAACACATTTATTTCATTAAAAGGTTTCTGTCAAAACGTCAACCAATTTAACATTTTCTAAAGAAGTGTTCTTTTGGCTAAAGCTATTATAAGCCTTTACATCCCACCTCAGTTAATTATCAAATAATATCATGACTTTATGAAGTACTCTGGGAGACTAAGAGTCTAATTATTTTTGTGGAAACTAGGAACGTATTACTTTAAACAAAACAGCCAAATTTCTGAGGTGTGAAAATCAGGTCATTATTTTCTCAAATTTTCATATTGCAAAGGAAGCTAAATGGCTTGATTCACATTTAAAATCATGTCATTATTTTCCTCTTTTTTTCCCACTGTTTACTGACAGTTGCTCAAAACTGACCTGAGGGTCTGGCAGCATAAAT